GAATATGGCCTATGAGTATCTTCTCTCCAAATCCATGTCCTCTTCTAAATGGATTTGTTTTGGTATCCCTGCCTAAACTAAGGTCTGGTATATAAAAGGGAAAATTGGTTGTGTAGCATCGAAAGATCGTGATCTCCGTAAAATACCACCGAAAGTTTATGCCCCCATGATATAGCACCGAAAGGATCGTCCATGAACTGGCAGTACCATTCCATCAAATTTTGCATACAGAAATGTTAACCTAAGCTAAAACCCAGACATGAAATTACATATTTGCCCTTACCTTATCCTATCTCACCCATCTGAGACAGGAAGGCACTCGAGCCGCTCGGTTCTCCGCTCGGCGCGCTCGCTCACCCCTTTCGCCGCCGCCGTGGGTTCCAGCACACAGGTCAGGGCATTGCCTCTGTCGGCCACTGCGCGGGTCTAGGCACCGCCTCCGTCGGCCACCTCGCTGCGTGCACGGTGCCTCGGCCAGGTCATCGGCATCCCCAACGCGCCGTGGCGCCTCCGCCAGGCCGTCGGCATCCCTACTCACCACCTCCGCCGGCAGCCAGATGCCCCTCCACACTCGACCTCGCAAATGCATGAATCTGATATTCCCCATGGGTAAGAACGAAACCTTAGCTATCTACTGCATCTCATAGCACAACTGAAAATTAGTTGTGGCATGCGATTGTTTGTGATATCCGGTTCATTTGTGTGTGCGATCTAGTGTGAGGATGGTCAGTGATGAGAAAGGACTTTTGGAAGTAGTGCTAATTTGTTTGCACTGCTAGTATTTTCAGGATCAATCGGACCAATGCATGTAGAGTAGTGATTGATGTTTCGTCCTACTCAACTGTTGAGGATGATCGATCCGTGTACAAAAAGGGCAGATGCTTGGATTGGTGGGTGGATGCAGAAGAATACTCCATCATTGACATGGAGAAATATGTTTTCAAGCACTTTAGTTGGGCTAGCTATCAGGAAGCAAACTTCTGGTTTGTGGGTCGGAATAATCTAACAGTTCGTCTTGGTACTAACCTAGAGCTTCTAACTTTGCTGCGAGCTTCAAAATTGGTGGAGTTTATCATGATTGTTGATAGATGTGAGCATGTTGATATGGCTTGTACTGTGACTGAATTGGAGAATGAAAGACAAGTGCCAAATGAAGAGAATGACCTACAGCTTCAGGTCATAGAAGTGTTTTAGGGGATGCATGTGAGTGTAGAATTGGATGGTCTAGAATGGGCCTTGCAACCACAACTTGGTGTTACAGCTACTGGTCTTTCTAGAGTAGAGGAGGAGGAGGAGGAGGGTGACCAATATATGGAGCCCAGTGTTGACCATGAGGGAGATGATCTAGTTGGACCTGATGAAGAGTGGAGGTAGTTCAATAAGTTACATGAAGTAGGAAGTAATGAGAAAGTGCAGCAAGAAAAGAAGAAAATGGACAACAACAAATTTGTAATTGAAGACTTAGATCCTAAGGTTGTGCCAAGTGATATGTGAACTTATGGTTTCGGCTGGCAACAAAGATTGACTTCAATATTGTAGCCTGAGAGGTTTGTATTCTAAAACAAAAGGAGTTAAATACACCAATGGGCTTCTCATGGATGGTGGCCTTCCACGGTGGATTAGCCACGACGGCCTTGGCACGATCTTCATCTCAGCACAGGGATGTTATAAGTGCGGATGTAAGTGGAGTAGTGGTCACTACGCCAAACTAATGCAACAGAAAATATGTGTTCCCAAGATTCAAACTCAGGACCTCAATGTTCTCTCAAGCGTCCAAACCATCTGAGAAACAAAAGCGATATGTAAAGAGCTGAAGATATAGAAAGGTCAAACTCCTAGAGATACGATGATATATTGTGGTATCGGTTGGCAAATCGCAACCCCTAGTCCATGTTCAAGCTCCACACCAAGTTACGCTCACGGTTACCAAACCTCTCCTAGTCTCGATGTTAGATTTGAAACACAAGGCATCCACTAACCAATGGCTAGTGAGTCACAAAGTCTAATCACCACCACTCAACTCTTACAGTCACCTTGATTTTGTGTACACTACAGAGCTTCTCCAAACTAGGGAGGGGTCTCTCCTCATCCTCCACACACCTATAAGACGCTACTTCACATGAAGAACTTTGGGTTGCTATCTGGAAGGCCACCACACCATTATCGGAAAGGTCATAAAGACCTCAAGAGCTCTGGCTCACCAATTGTGAGGACACAATAGCCCAATCCAATTAAAGTACTTGAGGTTTTTGTAACTTTCTGGTGAAAGTGTGGTGGCCTTCTAGGTATAGTGACTCTCCGTTCTCGGTGAGGAGCAGTGTTGTATCGGTGTGGGTGATGATTAGGAGACCCCCTCCCTCGTGTAGACAAGCTCCATATTGTACATAGCATCAAGGTGACTGGAAGAGTCATATAGCCGTGGCCAGACCTTGTTTTTCGTGGCACTAGAAGCCTTTAGTTGGTAGATGCCTTATATTGAAAATCCCACACCATACTGACAGAGACTTGGTGACCGGGAGTGTATCTCTTTGGAATGGAAATGGGATTTTCATGTACTTGCCCTACATACACATCTCTCGCTTCTGTATTTTATTTTGCTGAAATGGAAATGTGTTGATCTAAGGTTCAAAAACAACCAAATCCAAAGGGAAAGAAACATTTTAACCAAGTGATCCCTCCATGGATCCATCATAAAATACAAGACCAAGCATCCAAAATTTGTAATAAATTATAAGAGACTCTTGTTGAGCTAATCATCCAACTTAGTTTTACAAGACAACATTCACATGCACATCTACTGTTAGTTTCTACCAAATACGAACACAAGGAAGGATTACCATATAATATTTTCTAGAGTACCTTGTATTCTATGATAACGGGAGTAGTACCATAACACACCATTAGAAAGTCGTAAAGTGCTGTATTCAATGAATGTTGGATAGCGAGCACATTCATGCAGGTTATTTGATTAAGTTTTTCTATGGGAAAACTTTGCTATACTAAGTTAGACAATTACTAATCGGTTTGATTTGTTCCTACAAGCTACTTAATTTTATATTGATTTGCTCAAGTTATACTTATAGAGAAAAACAAGATTATGGGCCCCCTCATTAGTCAATGGCAAGAAGCCTATGTGTAATTTTACTAGTCTTCTTTCTTGCCTGAATGGTTGTAACCTTCTTTTGGATTTTAATAAAATCCCAGAAGGGGGGACCCCTCCTGTTTCCATCAAAAAAGAATTATATTTTTTTCATCCCCTAAATTTATATTTTTATTAAATGCATGTCAAGTTCACTTTTTTGTGTGATGATATCACTACTATAGTAACAGTTTACAGAGGTGGTCAAAACAAATTATTGCCTCTGCATCATCATCACTGTAAGGGCTAATTTGGAAACTGAAATCCACTTGGGATCCCTAACTGTTTTCAGGGTGGGAAATCCATGGGGACATAATTTGAATAATTATTTAGCTCTTCATGGAGGGTTTTCCATCCCAGGGTGTGCCTCCCTTTGCTTCAAATTAGCCCTAAATGAATGTTTCTAGAGGCAGTACTCCATGTCTGACTCTGTTAATATAATCAAAATGACAAAGTAAAAATAGGCCCAAGCGTACAACCGGACCGGTCATCAGGGCCTCGATTTGGGTCATCAGGGCACCGCGCTACGGCGTTTGGCACGTTGCCACACCATCATCATGTCTGCACACCTCCACAAGAGACATCAAGGTCCATGGCATTGCACCTATGAAGCCTACGAATTGGGAGGGAGACAAAGAGAGCGAGGATGAGCACCAGTGGTCTCGAGCTTGAGAGAGGAGGGAGACAAGAAGGGCTGACCTCTGCAATCGAGAGATCCACAGCCTCTTGCCCAAGATCCACCGACTCTGGTCCTAGATCAGCCGCCTCCGATCTGAGATCCACTAGGCCAGACCGCGTCCATGATGACCTCCACTGCTGGGACGAGTGTGACCTCCATCATCGGGGTGTGCAGCCTCCAGTCACCATGGCTCATGTGGCCTCCACTGCCAACACCATGAAAGGGTAAGGGAGAGAGGGGCGAACGTGGCCTCCATCGGTTTGGCGAGGGAGAGAGGAGGTCGCATGGGAAGGAGAGAGGAGTGACGCGGACAGATGAGGGAGATACAGGATTGTGATGTCAGGGTTTTCACTTCATTTATATAGTCAAGATTGACAAACGGGCTAAGGTGGGCCTTAAGACGGGTACCGGGCTAGGTACAATTAACATAGGTGGGCCACTTAAGGAATTAGAGGTCTGCCTCTGTTAATTGATTTACAGAGATGGACCACAGTTTGTTGCCTCCGTAAATCGAATGAATGTCTTCGGAAAGCGCTGATCATTATTTTAGGATATTTTAATATTTTGTGCCTGCCTCTATAAATAAAATGAGGTGTCTCCTAAAGTCCTTTTTGTGGTAGTGTATATCACATCATGAGCTCCATTAGAAAACTACTTTGATTGTATTATTTTCTATCTCATATATATCCTTCATTTAAATTAATGTTTCAAATACAGAGGAGGCAATTAAGGTAATTGCAAAATGATCCAAAATATAACGGTAAAGTATAGTACATATATCAATTATCGCTATACAATATTTGAACCTGCAATACAAATTATGCAAGGGAAAAAGGAAAACACAAATTATGCAAGGGTAAAATGACCAATATAATAATGCGGTGATTTGAACCTTTTGAATAGTGTAGGGGCCAAATGAAGCTGAAATTTTGAATGGACACCATCAAAGGGACAAAGTTAGTTGTTCGTTGAAGTGGTTAAAAATGTCAAAATTTCATCATATAACATATATAGCTGTCTTATTATGTGTGTAAATAAAGAAAGCTTATTTATTACAAAGAAAGACAGATTACATGATCAAACCGGCCGGTTAAATAACATCAGTCAATTGCTCGCCATATAATATACTTCATCAAAACGAATTAATACAACTCCAAAATCTCTCCATGCATCTCGCCATTGTCACTTGGCGAGCGAGTAGACGGAGAGCATGATGACGAGCGCCATGCACGCGGCGGCGGACAGCATGAGCCCCGCGGAGGCGTAGGCCAGCTCGAAGAACCTGTCCATGTCCCGGTGCAGCTTGTCGACCTCCGGCGTCCAGATGGTGTCGTCGAACAGCCCGTCCAGGTAGCGCTTCACGTCGTAGGTGAAGCCGAACCCGGCCGCGGCCCCCGTCGCGAGCAGCAGGGCGAAGACCACGTCGGCGAGGACGAGGACCAGCGCCACGGCCACGGCAGCAGCGTGTAAGCGCACCCGACGACGGCGACGGCCAGGACGTACCTGTAGGCGTAGACGTCCCTGAAGGTGTACTTCTGCGGCGGGTCGCTGTCGACATTGAGCCTGTCAGCGGCGATGAGCGCGAGCGAGGCGGCGAGGAGGCCGAGGTAGAGGAGCCGGAGGATCAGGACGGCGGACGGCACCAAGACAGTTCGGGACGCCATTGTTAGCTGCGAAATGAAGTTCACTATGTTGTCACCTCACCTGGGGTATAGCTACAAGCTAATAAGTCGTTTCCCTGCAAACTGCGTCTAATTGGCTAGGTTCCGTTTTATCAACAGGGCATATGTTGGGACTAACGGGAAATGAGATATGGACAAGAAATGGTTCCTTGTGCATATGTCGTCATGAATGGATCTTGTCGTGTTCCTCGAGCTAGCTGGGAATGGAAGACGGCCGGCCGGCCGCGACATCTGGCACGAGGAGGTTGGCTGTTCGATCGAGGGCGGCTTTGACCTGGTACCTGTCCCTCCGTTTGTTCGTCTGCATCACCAGGACGACGGTGTGGCGAACGGTGACCTGTTTGTCCCATGTCGATACAGGAGAAAAGATCCAAGAAGAAGGGACCCGTGGGACGTGGCGGTGCGTGTCGGACGCCGGCGGCTTTGCCACTACTCCGCGCCTTTGCTATGTGCATCAGTGAATTGACTGCACTGCCAGTCAAATTATTTTGGAAGGAGGAGTTGACCAGAATTTGCGCTTTCACCGGCCATATCCAATAAAGATGGGATTTGCTTATGCACTTATATGTCACTCACTCAAAATTCAGCAGAATATAATGCCCCTTCAATTATCTAGTACTAGCTATAGACAATTTTCTCCCTCTTTCCTCATATGCCAGCATCTACTCTAGGCTCGATCTCCTTCATCTTGTACGTTTAGTGGCAGCATGTCGCCATTTTCCTTCCTGCACCCAGGCGTGCAGCTGTTATAGTGTTGATTGGAGTTTTCGATCGGAGGCTTAAAATTTCTGGTCTTTTTCAACCTAAGTTGTGCCTCACTGTAGACCGGAATTTCCGGTTCGGGAGTCAAAATTTTGTAATGCTAAAAGCATATGCAAATGAAGTTTAGTAGATAACGGGTATGCTGACATACGGAGTAGACAAATAAATCCATGTTAGTGGTTGATATGGTCTGCTTACGTGGATAGGTGTCATAATTGCATGCGCTAGTGGCTTGCTGATGCCGATAGCTTGCATTTTGAGATAGACTTCTAATGATGTTTAGGATTATTATAAGATATATATTGCTCTCTGTGCACCAAAAGTATCGGGCATAGAAAATTCCAAGTCGTCTTAATTCTTGGTGGTTCTTTTTCTCAGTGCCCTGGCCATCAGGCCCCGAAAATTCAGATCACCGGAATTGAAGATGTATGGCAAGGGCTATATCTATAAGCATAGAGCCCATCCCCATCTCTTATCTTTCTTTTTAACCGAAGGGAATCTTCTAGAACCAAGAGAGCAAAGAGATCAGACAAGATTTAGAAGAGCACCTTATGTCCACGAAGAACATGAGTCAAATCTAGGAGAACGCATGTGAACAAAGATAATACACCTCACATGCACGAAGAGTCTTCCGGACTTGAATCCTCCACCAACTCTGCGACAAGCATGTGGAGGAGGGGGCCGAGGAAGGTGGAGATGCAATTTACAGTCAGCTTAATTGGCCATCACTCCAACCACATCACCATCACGTCTCACAAGCACAGGAAAGGATCAATGACTCTACACCAACATCGCTACTACGCCTTTAGGGGCTCAACACAATCGATTCTACCTTCACCACTACTTTGGCACGAAGGGCTCACAGTCAACCTTCAGCATCATCAACTTCATCTTACACTAGTACACTGATGCTTCCTCTTAGCGTCACCTTTTTTTTTCACCGGTGGTTCGGAAAGAGCAGGCAATACTAGAAATAAAACTGTGGGTCCAGATAATGAACCGGCAGTGTAAATTCATTTTTACTAGCTGTTTTCTTAAGTTTACTGCCAGCAAAGATACATGATTTCTACTGACGGTAGCCTTAAGAAAACAGCCAGTAAAAATGTATTTATAGTGGCGGTTTTCATAACCTATCGTCACTACAAATAGACGCCAATATTGAAAATTAAGTACTAAAATTTGAATTTTTCAAACGACCTTGGATGGAGAAATGACCAAAACAAAAGTTGTACATCTCGAAAAGTTATAGAACTTTGTTGTTTACAACATTTCCATTTGAAATCATTTGATATTTCAAAATGCTGTCTAAAATTTAATTTTTAAATAGTTGAAGAACTCTGATCTCTCTTTTTAATCTGTGAATAAAACTTGTAACTAGTCTTTCTCCCTCATACTATCTTCAAATTACTTGATTTTTTTCCTAAAATTTTATAAAATCATGCTCTATCAATTTATTGTGTTCTTACATCTAATAGTTTGGTCATCTTTTCTTTCCAACATTTCAAAATTTGAGTTTCAAAAATAACAACTTCAAACAGCATTTTGAAACATCAAATGATTTCAGCTAAAGAAGTCATGAACATAAAAGTTGTAGAACTTATCAAGATCTACAACTTTTATTTTGGTCATTTCTTCATCCGATAAAGTGGTAGTAAACATTGTTCACAAATGACATATCTCTTATGTAGTTTCATAAACTATGTGAGAGATTTATGAATTTGTGAACAATATAGACTATCACTTTGTCGGATGAAGAAATGACCAAAATAAAACTTATAGACCTTGATGAGTTCTACAACTTTGTTGTTGATGACTTTTGCAGCCGAAATCATTTGCTATTTCAAAATCTTGTTTGAAGTTCTCATTTTTTGAAATTCAAAATTTAAATTGTTCAAACCAAGTCACATGAAAAGATGACAAAAATGAAGGTTGTAGATCTCAATGATTTCTAGAACTGTGAAGTTGACAACATTTTTATTTGAAATCATTTTATCACAGAAAACAACGTTTGAATTTCTCAAATTTGAAATTTAAAGTTTTTAAACGACCTCAGATGGAGAAACAATCAAAATAGAAGTTGTTGAACTCAGAAAGTCATGCAACTTTATAGTTCACAACTTTTTCATTTAAAGTCATCTTGTGAAGGAAAACTACGTTTAAATTTCTTAAATTTGAAATTTAAATTTTTTCAAAACAACCTCGTATGGTGAAATAATCGAAACGAAAGTTATAAATCTCGAAAAGTTATGCAACTTTATAGTTAATAACCTTTTGATTTGAATTCGTTTAGGGTCTCAAACAATCAATTTAAACTCGGTTGAGCATAATATGAGGTAAGAGAAAATCCATTATAAGTGTAAGGTGCAGTTGTCAGAGGAGTATATAGCGAGGGGGAGGTCGCGGGTTTGAATCTTGCTAGCCGCGAAGTGCGTGAAAAATGCCGTGAATTCGACCGAGCAGGCAGGTGGCCGACTGGTGGGGGCCTCCCCACATAAAATTTTTTTTGCTCAAGTTATACTTATAGAGCAAAACAAGATTTGGGCCCCCTCATTAGTCAATGGCAAGAAGCCTATGTGTAATTTTACTAGTCTTCTTTCTTTCCTGAATGGTTGTAACGTTCTTTTGGATTTTAATAAAATCCCAGAACGGGGGACCCCTCTTGTTTCCCTCAAAAAAGAATTATATTTTTTTCACCCCCTAAATTTATATTTTTATTAAATGCATGTCAAGTTCACTTTTTTGTGTGATGATATCACTACTATAGTAACAGTTTACAGAGGCAGTCAAAACAAATTATTATTGCCTCTGCATCATCATCACTCTAAGGGCTAATTTGGAAACTGAAATCCACTTAGGATCCCAAACTGTTTTCAGGGTGGGAAATCCATGGGACATAATTTGAATAATTATTTAGTTCTTCATGGAGGTTTTTCCATCCCTGGGTGTGCCTCCCTTTGCTTGCAAATTAGCCCTAAATGAATGTTTCTAGAGGCAGTACTCCATGTCTGACTCTGTTAATATAATCAAAATGACAAAGTAAAAATAGGCCCAAGCGTACAACCGGACCGGTCCTCAGGGCCTCGATTTGGGTCATCAGGGCACCGCGCTACGGCGTTTGGCACGTTGCCACACCATCGTCATGTCTGCACACCTCCACAAGAGACATCAAGGTCCATGCCATTGCACCTATGAAGCCTGCGAATTGGGAGGGAGACAAAGAGAGCGAGGATGAGCATCAGTGGTCTCGAGGTTGAGAGAGGAGGAAGAGAAGGGCTGACCTCTGCAGTCGAGAGATCCACAGCCTCTTGCCCAACATCCACCGACTCTGGTCCTATATCAGCCGCCTCCGATCTGAGATCCACTAGGCCAGACTGCGTCCATGACGACCTCCACTGTTGGGACGAGTGTGACCTCCATCATCGGGGTGTGCAGCCTCCAGCCACCATAGATCATGTGGCCTCCACTGCCGACACCAAGAAAGGGTAAGGGAGAGAGGGGCGCACATGGCCTCCATCGGTTTGGTGAGGGAGAGAGGAGGTCGCATGACGAGGAGAGAGGAGTGACGTGGACGGATGAGGGAGGTAGAGGATTGTGATGTCAGGGTTTTCACTTCATTTATATAGTCAAGACTGATAAACGGGCTAAGGTGGGCGTTAAGACGGGTACCAGGCTAGGTACAATTAACATAGGTGGGCCACTTAAGGAATCAGAGGTCCGCCTCTGTTATTTAATTTATAGAAATGGACCACAGTTTGTTGCCTCCGTAAATCGAATGAATGTGTTCGGAAAGCGCTGATCATTATTTTAGGATATTTTAATATTTTGTGCCTGCCTCTATAAATAAAATGAGGTGTCTCCTAAAGTCCTTTTTGTGGTAGTCACTACTGGAGATGCGCTCTTTGCCGAGTGCCTGGTGCACTCGGCAAAGGCCCTATTGCACTCGGCAAAGGCTTTACCGAGTGCCACACTCGGCAAAGAGCAAACGGCAAAGCCGCATCCGGCGAAGGGTTCTTTGCCGAGTGCCGTTTGTCGGGCACTCGGCAAAGGCTTTGCCGAGTGCCCGGACGGCACTTGGCAAAGAAAATTGGCCGTCACCCCGTTGATTTGCGTCTTTTTTGCCGAAAGTGCCGGGTCGAAGGCACTTTCGGCAAAGCTTTTCCTTTTTTTTGAAAAATCCTTTGCGAGTGCCTTCCCCGACACTCGACACTTTCGGCAAAGAA